CTGACCTTAAGTGATCCACCTGCCACAGCCTCCCAAAGTGTTGCGATTACAGGCGTGAGCCACTGCATTTGGCCCCACATATATATATATACTATTAATTCCCAAAAGAAAATGCTGATATAAACTTTAATAGTCTTATTCTGTCGCCAGGCTGGAGTGCAGTGGCGTGATCTCAGCTCACTGTAGCCTCCAACTCCCAAGTTCAAGTGATTCTTCTGCCTCAGCCTCCCGAGTAGCTGGGACTATAGGCGGGTGCCACAACGCCCAGCTAATTTTTTCATATTTTTAGTGGAAACTGGGTTTCACCGATTTGGCCAAGATGGTCTCAATCTCTTGACCTCATCATTTACCCACCTAGACCTCCCAAAGTGTTGGGATTACAGGCATGAGCCACGGCGTCTGGACTTTTTTTGAGACGTAGTATCGCTCTGTTGCCCAGGATGGACTGCAGTGGTGTGATCTTGGCTCACTGCAACCTCCACCTTCCAGGTTCAAGCAATTCTTCGGCCCTGGCCCCCAGAGTAACTGGGATTACAGGCACCCACAATCACACCTGGCTAATGTTTGTATTTTTAGTAGACACAGGGTTTCACCATTGGCCATGCTGGTCTTGGAGGAGAATCGCTTGAACCCAGAAGGCAGAGGTTGCAGTGAGCCAAGACCGCACCTTTGTACTCCAGCCTGGGCAATGAGCGAAACTCCATCTCAGGAGAAAAAAAAAAGAAAAAAGGAGAACATTATGACAGCCGAGATTGCACCACTGCACTCCAGCCTGGGTGACAGTGAGACTTTGTCTTTAAAAAAAAAAGTCTTGCTCTCTTGCTCAGACTGGAGTGCAACGGTGCGATCACAGCTCAGTGAAGCCTCCTGGGCATGTGATCCTCCCGCCTTGGAGGAGTAGCTGAGTAGCCGAGACCACAGAAGCGCGACAACACACCCAGCTCATTTACGTTTTGTAGAGGTGGAAGCTTGCTGTGTTGCCCAAGCTGGCCTCTGACTCCTGGGCTCAAGTGATCCTCTGGCCTCCGCCTCCCCATGTTGGGATTGCAGGCGTGGCCCTTGCACCCGGCCTGGTTTAAGGTTCAAATCCCAACACTGCAAACCTAGGCTTACTGCTGTCAGCAATCCCCAAGGGAGGTTTCACAGACAGCAAGTTTCTCAACCCCTAAGACTCACTTCTGGCTTCTGGCAAAAAAAAAATCAAAATCAGCCATCTATAGACAAATATGGACAGTCTCTAACTTATGATGGCTCAACGTCAGGACTTTAGAATGGGCTTACCAGCAGGTAACTTCATGGAAAGTCAAGAAGAATTTGTATTTAAGAAATTAAAGCGGCCAGGCGCAGTGGCTCATGCCTGTAATCCCACCACTTTGGGAGGCAGGTGGATCACAAGGTCAGGAGATCAATATCATCCTGGCTATCATGCTGAAACCCTGTCTCTACTAAAAATACAAAAAAATTAGCTGGGTGTGGTAGCACACACCTGTAGTCCCAGCTACTCAGGAGGCTGAGGCTGCAGCGAGGCGAGCTCACGCCACTGCATTCCAGCCTGGGTGGCTGAGACTCAGTCTCAAAAAAGTTAATAATAAAAATAAATTAAAGCAGCTGGGCGTGGTGGCTCATGCCTACAATCTGAGCACTTTGGGAGGCCAAGGCAGGCGGATCATGAGGTCAAGATGGAGACCATCCTGGCCAACACAGTGAAAGGCCATCTCTACCAAAAATACAAAGATTAGCTGGGTATGGTGATGCGTGCCTGTTGTCCCAGCTACTTGGGAGGCTGAGGCAGGGGAACTGCTTCAACTCAGGAGTGGAGGTTGCAGTAAGCCGAGATTGCGCCACTGCACTCCAGCCTGGGTAACAGAACAAGACTCCGTCTCAACCAAAATAATAATAATAATAATAAATAAAGCTGAAAATAGTGGCTCACACCTATAATGCAACTGCTTTAGTAGGCAAGGTGGCAGGATCACTTGGGGCCAGGAGTTTGAGACTAATTAAAAAAAAAAAATTAAATATTTCACTACTAACAGGACAATGGGCCAATATTTATTGAGGGCTTTAAAAACACTAGGTTCAGGCTCAGCGTTTGCAGGTTCTAATTTATTTAATTATCAGAAAATCTGAGGTGGGTACACACAGAGAAACTAGCCCCTGGCCACAGACGGCAGGTGGTGGGGTCCCCTCAGCCCCGGCTCTGCCTCTGAACAAGCAGCATTTTCCTCACAAGTCGCATCATCCTTTCCCTTGAGATTTTAAACACTTTACCAAATGCTGCACTGTATCGTTGCCTAACATCTTAAAAGACACTTCCTGCTTTCCACTGCAGTTTACAGCCGTCACTTGTGCAGACACACCAGCTGCCGCATGACAGATTTGGTTTTGGGCTCTAATCTGCATGAGTCACTTCATGCAGGCCCCCTGCCTCCACCAACCAGCTAACGTTATCGGGGTCCCCCAACCTGCACATCTGAACACCCCCGAGGGCCCACCCCACCTTCCTCACCTCCATCCCCACTTAGGGAACATGCTCCAGCTGGCCTCGTGCCAGTATCCACAGGGAACTACCTGGGGCAGGCAATGGCAGCACCCGCAAGACCTTCACTAAGTGGCAGGCACACTGTTCTGCCCCTTTGCCCCCATCCAGGGGGCAAAGATCCCCCAAGTAAAATAAGCAAGGCCATGAAGGCACCCTCCTCCCAGCACCTAATGAGGGGCTGCCACAGGCGATGCCTTTCCCACACGGAGGTCCCCAGGGCAGAGCCTGTCAGTGACACACAGCACTCATGCTGCCACCCTTCACCCCACCACCCATGAGAGCATGCGCAGGCACACAGGGCTCTTCTGGGTGGGATGCTTCCTGGGAGCCTACCGACCCCTACGGTCCCTCTATAAAGAAGGAGCTTCTGAATTTTGGGATACCGGGCTCAGCTCCTTCTAGAATGACCAGAGACAGGCTCGTCCTCTCCCTATACCAAGTCCTTCCAGATGAGACCACTGAAGCTGGACTCAGTCCCACGTCCAGAGCCTGGGAGGCCACAGTGGAGTGATACAAAGGGGCTGAGCCTACACTAATCTAGTATGAGCTTGTGCATTCCTAGCTTTTCTTTCTCTTACTGAATACAAGAATTTAAAAAGGAACAGTGCTAACTGAAGAGTAATTTTCAAAAATGGGATCTCAGGATAAGCTTCATGGCACAGTTTAATATGAATGAGATGAGACCAAAGCCTTCTCCAGGGCAATGAAAAGCACCCAGCCCCTAAACGAGATTCTTGGAAGAGGCTCTGTGGTGGGGTGAAGACAGCACGGACAGGGAGCTTGCACAAAGGCCTATCAGGAGGGCCTGCTTTCTGAGGTCCTTCTCAGCCCACCGCAAAAGCGACCACGTCTGAGCCGTGCATAACACGGGCGGACCAGGACATGGCCTATTGAGCCCCTCAGAAATTCTCAGGGAGGTTTTTCCAGACGCAGGTTACCAGGGCTTCTGCAGAGAGGGGCAGCAGGATGTGCTGCTGACATACCCCGGGACGCACAGTAACCCACAGTGAGAGCCTACCTGCGCCTGGACGCCCCCCCCCCCGCACCCCCAACCAGAACCATACCCTCTGCTGCAGCAGGCAGCCTGGGACTCTGCCCGGCGTCCCCACCCACAAACTTTTAACTGTAACTGGCAGAGGAGACAGTGGGGATGGGGGGGGCAGAAGGTGGTGTCATCCTAGGACCCAGTTCTAGGTTTTGCTAGAAAGACCTTCAGGGGCCATTTCTGGCTACCCCAATTAATCTGGGCACAAAAAATTTTTTTAGCTTATTAAAAATTGCAACAGTAGGGCTGGGCACCGTGGATCACCTGAGATCAGGAGTTCGAGACCAGCCAACATGGTAAAACCTCGTCTCTACCAAAAATGCAAAAATTAGCCAGGTATGGTGGCATGCACCTGTAATCCCAGCTACTCGGGAGGCTGAGGCTGTGAATCAGACTTTGCAGTGAGCTGAGGAGCTGAGATCACACCATTGCACTCCAGTCTGGTAACAGAGCGAAACTCCACCAAAAAAAATTCTTAAAAAGGGAGTCGGGTGCGGTGGCTCATGCCTATAATCTGGGCACGTTGGGAGGCTGAGGCGGTGGATCACAAAGTCAAGAGTTCGAGACCAGCCCAGCCAAAACAGTGAAACCCCATCTCTACTAAAAATACAAAAAATTAGCTGGGCATGGTAGTGGGTGCCTGTAATCTCAGCTACTAGGGAGGCCGAGGCAGGAGATGGAGACCAGCCTGATCAACATGGTGAAATCTGGTCTCTACAAAATTAGGTAGCTGTGGTGGCGGGCATCTATAATCCCAGCTACTCAGGAGGCTGAGTTCACACCACTGAATTCCAGCTTGAGCAACAAGAATGAAACTCCGTCTCAAAAAAAAAGAAAAAAAGGAAAAAGAATACTGTTCTCTTCACAGGAGCCTTAGCAATAATCACTCTGCTCTGTGTCCTCCTGAGAAGAAGGAACATTCCCTCCCATTATTTGCTTCTAACAGCCTAGATAGCAAAATTGGCCCTCTAAGGACATCAGATGTGTGAAGCAGCCCGGGGCCACGTGTACCACATGGGCAAGCACATGCACGCACACATGCACGCAGGCACCCCTACCTGGCAAAGGACAGAGGAGGGCAGACCTGCAGTGTGAAAACCAACAGGGCTTTGTGGGTTCTGCGTCCTCACCTAAGCACCCCTGGTTTACATCATGTCAGGACCCTCTGCTGGACCACAGCAATGTAAACCTCACACCTTGCGCGTCTCACAACGCCTAAGGCCATGGGTGGCACTGGAACTAACCCGTGGACGATCCGATGTGCGCCAGGACTAGCAACCAAGCTCTCGCAAAGACAGAGGAGGAGCAAGTGTGTGCACTGCCCAGGGTGACAGCCTCCCGTGCCCGAGCCACATGTGACACCTTCCAGGGAGAACCACCCTGGGGGTTTTAAAGGGCAACCCGCTGGGATACAGTTCTTTGTCTTTCCTAAGAAGATCATTGTACATCTGGTCATATGTGGTTTTGAAATCGTAAACATTGGGCTTGTCCGGAGCTGGTCCTGGAAGCTTCACGTGAGTCCCTGTTCCAAAGGATCGGACACTGAATCCCCGTTTGCTGAAAGACAAAAGCAGACAAAGAATCACAGTTGGACTAAGACACAAAACTCCAAAAGCAAGGGACACGAAATGGCAATGAAACAAAATGATTAATTTCATTGGCCGATACCAGAGAACAGGTCTTAAAAAAAATTTTTTTTTTTTGAGACGGAGTTTCGCTCTTGTTACCCACCCAGGCCGGAGTGCAATAGCGCGATCTCGGCTCACCGCAACCTCCGCCTCCTGGGTTCAGGCAATTCTCCTGCCTCAGCCTCCTGAGTAGCTGGGATTCCAGGCACGCACCACCATGCCCAGCTGATTTTTTTTTGTTTTCAGTAGAGGCAGGGTTTCACCATGTCGACCAGGATGGTCTTCATCTCTTGACCTCGTGATCCACCCACCCTCCAAAGTGTTGGGATTACAGGCGTGAGCCACCAAGCCCGGCTGGGTCTTAAAATTTTTGATCTAGGATGGGTGTGGTGGCTCCCACCTGTAATCCCAGCACTTTGGGAGGCTGAGGAGGGTGGATCACAAGGCCAGGAGATGGAGACCAGCCTGGTCAACATGGTGAAATCTGGTCTCTACTAAAAATACAAAATTAGGTAGCTGTGATGGCGGGCACCTATAATCCCAGCTACTCAGGAGGCTGAGGCAGGAGAATCACTTGAACTCAGGAGGCAGAGGCTGCAGTGAGCTGAGATCACGCCACTGCACTCCAGCCTGGGCAACAGAGCGAGACTCCATCTCAGAAATAAAATAATAATAATTCTAATTAAATATTTTAGGCCAGGCATGGTGACTCACACCTGTAATCCCAGTACTTTAGGAAGCTGACATGGAACAATTGCTTGAGCCCAGGAGTTTGAGACCAGCCTGGGCAACACAGTAAGACCTCATCTTGGCTGAGGTGGGAGGACAGCTTGAGCCCAGGCGGGCTGCAGTGAGCTGAGATCACACCACTGCACTCCAGCCTGGAAGACAGAGCAAGACCTTGTCTCAAGTAAGCATAAAAACTCCAGAGTAAGTTACACAAAAGCTAGGTAAAAGCAATCAAAATGAAACTGACCACAGCCGGGCTACATCGTAAATTGTTTAAGGCTGTTACTTTAAACTGAACAAAACTGACTTACGTAGATTTGGAGAAGATTTCATGAGAACATTTTAGTCACTGATCAGTGTCCCCAATTCGCAGGATCCCAGTTCACAGGATTCCTAAGGGACTTGTAAAGGTCAAACTGCCTGCTCACTGCGCCTGGCCCCTTTTCTGTATTTTTTTAATTACAACTTGGGATGTGTGGCAATGTGTGGAAACACCTGTGGCTGTGAAACGTGGGGTGCTACTGATGTCTAGAGGCTCGGGATGCCACTGGTCATCCAGAGTCACGTGGGAAAGCCGCACGAACAGCCCCTACAGTGAAGAAATCCGGCCCCACACAGTGCCAAGTGCTGAACTTCGACGTGCACAAAGAGCTCCTGTCAGAGGCCAGGCAAGGTGGCTCAGGCCTCAAATCCCAGTTTGAGAGGTGGAGGTGGCAGATCGCCTGAGCTCAGGAGTTTGAGACCAGCTGGGCCAACATGGTCAATCCCCATCTCTACTAAAAATACAAAAAATAACTGAGTGTGGTGGTGTGCCAGTAGTCCCAGCTACTTGGGAGGCTGAGCCAGGAGAGCTGCTTGACCCCGGGAGGTGGAGGTTGCAGTGAACCAAGATTGCACCACTGCACTCCAGCCTAGTGACAGAGTGAGTCCGTCTCAAAAAAAAAAAAAAAAAAAAAAAAGAAACGTGGCATAACAGCAGCAATTCATGACTACAAACCTATGCCCAGGGCCACCCAGACTGTGAAATAGACCTGAAAATGCTAAAATCAAAATTCGTGACATTCATCCATCACATTCAGAACCACAGATCTTGATAGAACATGAGGCTAAAGGAATGAAGTCAACTGTTGGTTGTGACTGAGAGGGTGACAGGCCCAGACACAGGGAACACAAAGGCAGCACACCTGAGAAGGAGCAAGCACTTTTCACCCTAAGCCTAAAATGACTTCCTGACCAATTCAGATAACATAAGATAAAATACTTTCCATCAAAGCACAAGCAAGGGCCCGACACAGAGGCTCACATCTGTAACTCCAGCACTCAGGGAAGCCGAGGCGGGTGGTTCACTTGAGGTGAAAAGTTCAAGATCAGCCTGGCCAAAATGGTGAAATCCTGTCTCTACTAAAAACACAAAAATTAGTCAGGCATGGTGGCATAATCCCAGCTACTCGGGAGGCTGAGGCAGGAGTAACGCTTGAACCCTAGAGGCAGAGGCTGCAGAGCTGAGGCTATCCCACTGCACTCCAGCCTGGGTGACAGAGCGAGACTCCGTTTCAGGAAAAAAAAAAAAAGCACAGACAAGCCCATAATAATGTGATCACAGCAGCCAAGGGAAACAGCCTGTCCCCAGCACCCACAGGAACTGCCACCTGCTGAGCCCCTTTAAGCAAGCCTATTTAAACACAATATACACTGTTTTCCCCCAACACAATGTTCACTAATGGCAAAAAGGCTATTTAGCTACAGTAGCACTATTCTGTCTAAACTGATGCAACTGATAGGGCAGCCAGCTTGTGCTTCAACAGGGTTTCCTGCAGAAAAGCAAGGAGAGCTGGGAAGGCAGCCCAGACGCCAACAGGCTTCGCTTAAAGGGCCAGTGACTTTGCAGACTCAACTTCCAGACAAGTATTTGTCTGGTGTGTCAAACAACTGTCTTTACAGGTATCAAAAGTCCTATAATCTCAGCACTCTGGGAGGCCAAGTGGGTGGATCACTTCAGGTCAGGTGTTTGAGACCAGCCTGGCCAACATGGTGAAACCCTGTCTCTACTTTAAAAAAAAAAGAAAAAAAATCCAAGCATGGTGGTGTGCACCTCTAATCTCAGCTTCCTAGGAGGCTGAGGCTGAGGCTGGTGAATCGCTTGAACCCAGGAGGCTGAGGTTGTGGTGAGCTGAGATCTCACCACTGCACTCCATCTGGGTGACAGAGAGACACTCTGCCTCCAAAAAAAAAAAGAAGAAGAAGAAGAAGCTATCAGGCATGGTGGCTCATGCCTATAATAAACCCACCACTCTGCCACTCTGGGAGGCCAAGGTGGGAGGATTACTTGAGGCCAGGAGTTCACTATCAGCCTGGGCAACACGGTGAAACCCTATCTGTAAAAATAAATAAATAAAATGAAAATAATAAAAATTAAAAAATTTTAGCAGGGCATGGAGACACATGCCTGTAGTCCCATCTGCTACTCAGGAGGCTGAGGCAGGAGGATCACTTAAGCCTGGAAGTTTGAGGCTGCAGTGTGCTGTGATCGTGCCACTGCACTCCAACTTGGACAACAGAGCGAGATCCTGTCTCAAAAAAAAAAAAAAACAAAAACAAAATCAGCCTCAATGCCAATCAGCCTGACTTTGAGCTACACAGTGACCTCATGTTTACAGAGCCCAAATAAACGGCTCATGGGCTATCACCATTTAAATGAGACTTGGAAAGTAAAAACAAAAAACTCTTCTGAAATGGTTACATCCCCTGAAAATGTATGCCATCATTAGTGAAATTTGGGACCTAAACACATTTCAGTACATGTTTCATATACACACATACACACACACACCCCACATATACACACACACCCCACACATACATATATACGTACATTTACATGCACACACAACACACACACACGCGCGCCTTCTATTAAGGTCAAGGATGAAACCATAAGAAAATCATCTTCAAGTCCGGGCGCAGTGGCTCACGCTTATAATCCCAGCACTTTGGGAGGCCGAGGTGGGTGGATCACAAGGTCAAGAGATCGAGACCATCCTGGTCAACATGGTGAAACCCCGTCTCTACTAAAAATACAAAAATTAGCTGGGCATGGTGGTGCGCGCCTGTAGTCCCAGCTACTCGGGAGGCTGAGGCAGGAGAATTGCTTGAACCCAGAAGGCGGAGGTTGCAGTGAGCCAAGATCGTGCCATTGCACTCCAGTCTGGGTAACAACAGTGAAACTCCGTCTCAAAAAAAAAAAAAAAGAAAAGAAAATCATCTTCAAAGCAAAGACAACTGCTCCCTCCTCCATGGGGACAAATCCCCTTTCCCTCTGGCCCTTGTCAGCACCTCTGCCTTCACTGAGCCCCCCACAAAGCGAGGAGCGGTGGGGCCTCCGGTGACTCTACTGTTTCTCCCACACCCTGAGTCCCTTGAGTGTGAGCCTCGCCTCTGCTCCTCTGTCAGCTCCATCATGGCCAGAGACCCTGGGGTCCAGAGCCTCCTCATGGCTCCTAAGCCCTGGCTCCCAGCTGTGGGTTTTCTCTTCTCAGCTGCTATGAGCGGATCTCCTAGAAGGGGGGTGAGGACCGCAACAATGCCTCTGGGAGGGTGCCTGGCTAAGGCACCCACAAGGGGCCTCTACAGCCCTGCGTTGCCCACCCTGGGACCCCTGGAGCCACTATGCTCATCTTTCCAGAAATCACACCATCCGGTAAGTTATGATTGAAAACTGACAGAATTCAGTCCAGTACCTTCTAAAAGCCTCTTACAACAACTTGTTTAGAATTGCTATAATTAAAAACACAGCTTCCAAAAACTAACACATGCCGTAACATCTAGAAGACAGTCTGACATTAAAAAAACAGCCGGGCACGGTGGCTCACACCTGCAATCCCAGCACTTTGGGAGGCTAAGGTGGGCGGATCACGTGGTCAGGACTAACCTGACCAACATAATGAAACCCCATCTCTACTAAAAATACGAAAATTAGCGAAACTCCTAATTAGCCCCACCGCTCCTCGATTTGTGGGGGTCTCAGTGAAGGCAGAGGTGCTGACAAGGGCCAGAGGGAAAGGGGATTTGTCCCCATGGAGGAGGGAGCATTTGTCATTGCTTTGAAGATGATTTTCTTTTTAATTTTCTTTTCTTTTTTTTTTTGAGACGGAGTTTCACTGTGGTGGTGTGAGCTTGTAATTCTAGCTACTCGGGAGGCTGAGGCAGGAGAATCGCCTGAACCCAAGAGGCAGAGGTTGCAGTGAGCCAAGATGATGCCACTGCACTCCAGCCTGGGCGACAGAGCGAGACTCCATCTCAAAAAAAACAAAACAAAACAAAACAAAAAACCCCAAACCTAAGTGGTTCCCAGGGGACAAGTGAATCCTTGGAGCACGAAGTGCAGGAGGCACTGTGGAAATGCAGAGCAGAGCTTCCCAGCATCCCCCAAAATATAAGGCCTCCCAGGACTGACATTTGAAATAAGTCAGCTTCAGACATCAAAGATGATCACCCCAGAGGACACTATGATGTCAACACTATCATCACTTGGATCTGTCAGGAAATTACAGGCCAAGCTCATTTTGTTTTGTTTTGCTTTTTTTGAGATGGAGTCTCACTCTCACCCAGGCTGGAGTTTAGTGGTGTGATCTCTGCTCACTACAACCTCCGCCTCCCAGGTTCAAGCAATTCTCCTACCTCAGTCTCCCGAGTAGCTGGGACAACAAGCGCCCACCACAACAGGCTACTTTTTGTATTTTTAGTGGATACAGGGTTTCGCCATGTTGATCAGGATGGTCTGAATCTCTTGACCTTGTGATCTGCCTGCCCCGGCTTTCCAAAGTGCTAGGATTACAGGTGTGAGCCACTGTGCCCAGCCGCTAATTTTCAATGGGGTAAAATTTTTATTATTTTTGTTTTTATAGACAGGGACTTGCTCTGTTGTCCAGGCAGTTCCGTGGTGCAATCACAGCTCACTGCAGCCTCAACCTCTTGGGCTCAGGTGATCTTGAAGCCCCGTCTCCCATGTAGCTGGAACTACAGGAATATGCAACCCCACGTGGCCAATTTTTAAAATGTTTGTAATAATGGAGGGGGGGGTCCATCCTGTGTTGCCCAGGGCTAAAACTTCTGGACTCAAGCAATCCTCCTTCCTCAGCCTCCCAACGTGCTAAGACTATAGATGGAAGAGCCACCTTGCCAGACCCAACATTTTTAAATGGGGTGAGTCGCTGATTAGTGAACTACAGTTCCTGGGACAATGTCACTGCAGCTTCTGTAGTTTCATGTAGCCATACCCAACTGCATACACACTTCTGCTTTTTTCACTTATCACAAGAATTTTCTATGCTTTTTACAAACATCATTTAGGCCTAAAAGTCTCTAAACCTGACTTTCACAATCCTTCCGAGCTTGTAACAGAAAAGCACTATCACATAGATTTCCTAAGTAAGTTTTAAAACCCTCTAAATAAACCCAAACGAATAGACAAAGCACATACACGGGTGATTTTCAAAAGCAAACGTAGTCTGGGTACGGTGCCTCACGCCTGTAATCAAGCACTTTGGGAGGCTGAGGGAAGAGGACCGTTTGAGCCCAGACATTCAAGGCTGTAGTGGTGAGCCATGATTCTGCCTCACCCGGGCTCGAAAACAAACAAAAAGATGTGAAAATAGCAACATATACAAATTCCAACTTCAATAGGCCAAGCTAAAGGCAACAGAGACATACAACACCCTGCTGTCCAGAGACCACTGAGCAGGAAAAGCAGAGTGATGTTTCCTAAGAGCCTGGAGAACTTCTTGCCCCCGTCAGCATCCAGACCTGCGTCGTGATGTGGAGGAAGAACCACCTACAAGATGGACATGAGCCACAAGCTGCTCCGTGAACCTCGGCATTCTCTGTGTTGATGCCACATGCTGCACTGTGAACCCAGGCACTGTGAACGCCTATGCCACTGGCCTGTGGGTCTGCAGGAACCCCTCCAGCCCCCAAATTGGGCTGCTAAATTCTCCCATTTGTCCCAGGGTATTATAGAAAATTATTTGTAAGAATAACGAAAATAAAACACACCTCGTGGCAATAAAAAGACAGCTGATGGGCTGGGCATGCTAGCTGACGCATGTAATCCCAGCACTTTGGGAGGCTGAGGTGGATGGATCACAAGGTCAGGAGTTTGAGACCAGCCTAACCAACATGAAGAAACTCTGTCTCTTCTAAAACTAAAAAAATTAGGCACAGTGGTGCCTGTAATCCCAGCTACTCGGGAGGCTGAGGCCGAAGAATTGCTTGAACCTGAGAGGTGGAGGTTGCAGTGAGCTAAGATCGCACCACTGCACTCCAGCCTGGGTGACAGAGCGAGACTCCGTCTCCAAAAAGACAAAAACAAAAACCTTCATACTAATTTGTTAAGTTCAAACCATATAGTCTACTAAAAAAATAAAAATAAAAGACTAGGCAAATACTGTGGACAATGTAGACATTAGAAAGAATTAAAAACAGCATCAGCAGATTATGAACACCTGACACTGTTTTTTTGTTTTTTTGAGACATTCTAACTCTACCGCCCAGGGTGGAGTGCAATGGCATGATCTTCCGCTTCCAGGGTTCAAGCGATTCTCTTGCCTCAGCCTCCTCAGTAGTTGGGATTACAGGCGATCACGCCCAGCTACACTTTGCGTTTTTAGTACGGAAGGGGTTACACCATGTTGGCCACACCGGCCGTAAAGGCGGGGTTTCACCAAGTTGGCCAGGTTGATCTCGAACTCCAGATGTCGAGTGATCCACCCGCCTCAGCCTCCCAAAGCGCTGAGATAATAGGCGTAAACAAACAGAGGGATGCTAATTTTCCCACATTACTCAGGAAAGTTAAAGCTGGACTGTGGTAAGAGAAGCGAGATGGTGCTTTCCTTTAAAGTTCATGTAGGTAACACTGGAGGAAAAAAGCCGTTTCAATTTTCTCTTACTATCAAAGCTGACACATATACCAAATTCTAACTGTAACTCTGGTGTTAAGTTTCTGATTTTGCTATGAGACTGAACGAAAAACTTGTATCAAGCAGGACTAAACCTTCATCAGACACGGGCTTCGCAAGAGTCACAGAAGGCCAGTTAGCAGAGCCAAACCGAATCCACGTGGTATTCCAGAAACTACCGGTTGAAGGCCTTCCAGGGAGGAAGAGGATCTTTGGCAAAAGAAAACAAGAAGTAGCAAACACACAAATCCATGGCATTAAAAAAACAGACCGCTTTGTTATTTCCAACACTGTTCTATGCCGAGGTTATGTTGTGCGCGTTTCCAGCAAAGGTGACCAACGTCGCACACGAAATACCTTGATAGGCCGGCGACGCGTAGCCCCTCACTTCGGCTGCTACCCTCGCCCCGGGCCCAGCCTCGGGGAGCTCGGAGAACCCCCGGCAGCGGGCGCCTCATCCCAGAAGCTGCCTTCCCTGTGATGTCCGCCCGCGTGTGGGCGCCGCGCGCCGCCGTCCCGCTGCCATCCCTACCAGCCGACCCCCGAGCGCCGCCAGGTCCAGCTTCCTCCCAGGGCGCCCGGCGCGGGCCAGGGGGAACCGGGGAGAATGGCGGGCCGGTCGCCGGGGCTGAGCGCGCGGGGCCAGGGCGGAGCCCAACTACCTGAGGATATTGTGCGCCTCCATGCTCCGGTTCTGGTTGCTCGAGCACACCACCGCCACCCGCAGCGGGGACGACGGCATGGTGGCGGCCGCACAGCCCGCGGGGCTCCCACCCCACCGCGGTGCTTCCGCGCGAGCAAAATGGCGGCCGCAGTGGCCGGAAGCCGGCGACGCGGAAGCGCCGGTGCCGGCGGCGTACCGTGCGGCGTCTGCCTCCCCGCCCAGCCCGAGCACCGGGCCGCGGACTGCGGGCAGGCGCTGGCCTTCGGGCGCGCTACACTCCGCGAGGCCGGGGGCGGCCCACGGCCCGCCAGCCCCCGGCGTCCGCAGCAGAGACCCTCACTCCGAGGGCGCGGCTGAGCGTCACAGCGCCACGCGCCGGCGCTTAGTGTGACGCAGACGTATTGTGACGTACGCGCCGCGCCGAACGCCTGAGACGTCACAGGTGTGTAGTCGCCGCCGCCGTAGCTGGGAAAGCTGCGAAGCGCCTGGCGTCTCGTCTCCTGGGACGATGTAGACTAGCAGTACGTCCCCTCGGTCCCCGTGGGGTCCGTCGTTCTCGCTCCTGCCGTCCCCTGAGTCGTCGCGCTTCACTAGACCCGTTCCCTCCGCTGTCCCCGAGACCCACAGACGTTCCCGCATCCTGAGGGTCGCTCCCGCCCGGGCTTATACAAGCAGGAGCACGTCGCTCTTTGATGAAAGCCTTCAGCGTTGAACGTTTCCGGGAGAACGCCGACCTGTGACAGACCTGCTTGGGGGTGCGCGCCGACGAGGGCCTTCCTAGCCTCGGGCTTCCTTGGAGAGCCCTCCGGCTGGCCTGAGATTTGGATGAAGTTACAGAGAATCGAGTCAACGCGCCGTGTGACTCCAACTACGCCTGTCTCCCCGGAGGCAGCCTGGCAGCAGCGGGCGGTGGGCTTGCGTTTTTTGTGGGGGCGCAACAGAGGGGAGAGTAATGATGATGATTGTCAACCTAAGGCAGAGGGGCTAATTGAAAATCGTATTTATTTGGGAATAGGGCGCTGGCGAATGTGCGTGCCATAATAGTCAACGATTTGCGCTGGTCTCGAACTCCTGACCTCAGGCGATCCACCTGCCTCGGCCTCCCAAAGTGCTGGGATTACAAGCGTGAGCCACCAAGCCCAGCCCGAAAGACGATGATTTTTAAAGGAAAAATGAAGACAATGGTTTGGAATAACCTTGCTACAGAGATCAGTAACAGGCAGTTGCTGGGCAGATGTCCTTGCGGAAGGATTTTTTTTTTTTTTTTTTTTTTTTTTGAGACGGAGTTTCGCTGTTGTTACCCAGGCTGGAGTGCAATGGCACGATCCCGGCTCACCGCAACCTCCACCTCCTGGGTTCAGGCAATTCTCCTGCCTCAGCCTCCTGAGTAGCTGGGATTACAGGCACACACCACCATGCCCAGCTAATTTTTTGTATTTTTAGTAGAGATGGGGTTTCACCATGTTGACCAGGATGGTCTCGATCTCTTGACCTCGTGATCCACCCGCCTCGGCCTCCCAAAGTGCTGGGATTACAGGCTTGAGCCACCGCAACCGGCCAGGAAAGGATCTTTTGTGTAAAGTTGCCTTACTGCAAGGTTGTGGTTTGTGCAGAATCTCGTGATAGTTTTTATTATTTATTCACGAGGACTCTCCCTTCATGGCCTTTTCCCAGCTGTATTAGAGTATTTTGAATAAGTGAGTCCACTTTTATTTTGACAACGTGGATATTTTCCCCTTTTGATTGAGCTCTTTCTCCAAATGCATCAGTGGTCAATCATCTTGTAGGTTTCGAAAGTTCCCGTGCTGCCGGGCGCGGTGGCTCACGCCTATAATCCCAGCACTTTGGGAGGCCGAGGCGGGTGGATCATGAGGTCAAGAGATCGAGACCATCCTGGTCAACAAGGTGAAAATACTAAAAATACAAAAAATTAGCTGGGCATGGTGGTGCGCGCCTGTAGTCCCAGCTACTCGGGAGGCTGAGGCAGGAGAATTGCTTGAACCCAGAAGGCGGAGGTTGCGGTGAGCTCAGATCGTGCCATTGCACTCCAGTCTGGGTAACAACAAAACTCCATCTCAAAAGAAAAAAAAAAGAAAGCCCCCGTGCTGAGATGAACTTGTCCTAGGTAGCTGTCCTGGTCCCACGCTGGAGAGAGAGGCTGCCGGCAGTCATTGGCAAAACCCTTTTTACCATATTTAAGCAGCAAAGGAGGTTTGAGACTGGCTCTCAGGCTAAGTCTACTGGAGTCCATTATTAACTTCAATTTTTGTCACTTCTGTAGTCTTCTATCATCTCAAAGTACTGTGTCACCATTATTCTGTTAGGAATTGCACTTTTGGCCGGGCATGGTGGCTCGCGCCTGTAATCCCAGCACTTTGGGAGGCCGAGGCGGGTGGATCACGAGGTCAAGAGATCGAGACCATCCTGGTCAACATGGTGAAACCCTGTCTCTACTAAAAATACAAAAAATTAGCTGGGCATGGTGGCGCGTGCCTGTAATCCCAGCTACTCAGGAGGCTGAGGCAGGAGAATTGCCTGAGCCCAGGAGGCGGAGATTGTAGTGAGCCGAGATCGTGCCATTGCACTCCAGCCTGGGTAAAAAGAGCGAAACTCCGTCTCAAAAAAAAAAAAAAGAAAGAAATTGCACTTTTGCAAAACATTAAAATGATCAAGTTTAAAGGGGAAAATACAAGGTATAAGTAATAGGAATATGTTATCCCAGTTTGCATGTAAGTTTTGACCCATGAACCTAGGCTTAAAGGAAAGCAAAATAATGGTGATGATGATGATGATTAGGAAATAAAAAAGGTTAAAGGCAGGGCAGGGTGGCTTATGCCTGGAATCTCAGCACTTTCGGAGGCTGAGGTGGGCAGATCATGTAAGGTCAGGAATTCAAGACCAGCCTGGCTAACATGGTGAAACCCCATTCTTGCTAAAAATACAAAAAATTAACTGGGTGTGGTGGCGGGCACCTGTAGTCCCAGCTACTTGGGAGGCTGAGGCAGGAGAATCGCTTGAACCCAGGAGGCAGAGGTTGCAGTGAGCCAAGATTGCACCACTGTACTCCAGCCTGGAAAACAAAAGCGAAACTTGGTCTCAAAAATAAATAAAGATTAAAAAATAGAAATTTGTCAGGGTGCGATGGCTCAACCCTGTAATCCCAGCACTTTGGGAGGCTGAGATGGGTGGATCACAAGGTCAGGAGTTCAAGACCAGCCTGGCCAAGATGCTGAAACGCTGTCTCTAGTAAAAGTACAAAAATTAGTTAGGTGTAGTGGCAGGCATCTGTAATCCCAGCTTCTCAGGAGGCTAAACAGGAGAATTGCTTGAACCCGGGAGGTGGAGGTTGCAGTAAGCCGACGTCACACCACTGTACTCCAGCCTGGGTGACAGAGCAAGACTCTGTCTCAAAAAAAAAAAATTAAAAACCTACAAAAATTAGCCGGATGTGGTGGCATGTACCTATAGTCCCAGCTACTCAGGAGGCTGAGGCAAGAGAATCACTTGAACCTGGGAGGCGGAGTCAATCCCAGCATTTTGGGAGAGATTGAGCCACTGCACTTGAGCCTGGGTGACAGAGTGAGACTCTATCTCAAAAAAAAAAAAAAAATAGCTGGGCGTGGTGGCATGTGCCTGTAGTCCCACTACTCGGGAAGTTGAGACAGTAGAATTGCTTGACCCTGGGCAGTGGAGGTTGCAGTGAGCCGAGTTCACACCACTGCACAGCAGCCTGGTGTGAATAGCAAGACTCCATCTCAGAAGAAGATTGGAAATGAAAGGAAACTGATTGAATAACTCAAGTGGCCATAGGAAATTAGGCGAGATTTGTAACCATGTGCCGTTTTCTTTTTTTATTTTGTATTTGAGATGGAGTCTCACTCCATCACCAGCATGGAGCGCAGGGGCATGATCTCAACTCACTGCAACCTCCATCTCCTGGGTTCAAGTGATTCCCCTGCCTCAGCCTCCCGAGTAGCTGGGACTACAGGTGTGCACCACCAAACCCAGCTAATGTTTTTTTTTCGTATTTTAGTAGAGACGGGGGTTTCACCATATTGGCCAGGATGGTCCTCAGCTCCTGACCTCGTGATCCGCCCACCTCGGCCTCCCAAGGTTCTGGGATTACAGGCATGAGCTACTGTGCCTGGCCCATGTACCTGTTTTCTTATTCTGTGTAAACGGGTCTCAGTGTTTCCAGAGGAATTTATCCAGGTACAGCATATAGTACTGACAGACTTATTTAGTACCTTATTTAACCAATAGGTACTAAAGATCCTCGTAGGTTAGGTTTTGTGAAGTTACCAGCAGAAGCTATTGATTGTGAAATGTCAGTTATACCATTGATGGCAGTGGCGGCCTCTCTTGAGTGAATGCTGGGAAGATGCTTGCTGCAGCAGGGGAGGCTCAGCTGGGACTGGGCACGTAGAAGCCCTGCCCTCTTCCAGGTTGGCAGGACAGGAGCCCCACCCTCCTGGGTGCAGCTGCATTTGCCCAGCTACGTCTATGGACCCAGGCATCCCTGTACTCTCGGGGCTGGGAAGTCTCCCCACCCCACCCCTGAAAGCTCAGAAGTACCTGCACCTGCTATCTGGCCTCTCCTCACTCCCAACAAAGCTGAGGCCAAGCCCAGGCGCTGTTGCAACCCAGCCAGGTGTGTGTGCACTTAGGGCAGTGCTGACATGCTAGCCCCCTGCTGCCTCATCCCCCTCTGGACTTTAAAAGCTGACAAGCATGGGAGCAAGGTTGAGGAGGGCCTGAGGGCAGCTCAGCCCAGTCCTGTAGGCGACCCTTGGGCTAAACAGCCAGTGGCCTGTGGATGGAATAATTGATTACAGCGAGAGGCAGACAGGCTCCTGGGTGGAAAGGGGTGGGTGTCCAGTGAAGAGCCACCTTCAAGCTAGGGACAGCCTGAAAGATGGGGGCTGGGCTGCCACTTCTGGGTGGAGTCTGCTGCCCAGAATGAGAATTTACGGTGCTTTTTCTAGGGCCACCCATGGCTGCCCATGGACTAATCAGCACACAGTTTATCTCTCCTGAAGTCCATGAAAACCCCAGACTCAGCCATACTCACAGGGACATCAGGACTACCGGCTGTGGGATGGGTCTGTCCAAGTCGGATCTCCTCAGCTCGTCGGGAGGACCTGCCTGTTGAAAGCAGCTGCTCACTTTGGGTCTCCTGAGAGCTGTTCTGTCGCTCAGTGAAGCTCCTCTCCTCCTTGTTCACCTTCCGGTTATCTGCATACCTCATTCTTCCGGATGCAGTTTGGTGAACATTCTGTGTGATCCATGCATCAGGCATGAAACTTGTCCCTTCACATTTATCTAGTTTGGCCTGGCACAGTGGTTTGTGCTTGTAATCCTAACACCTT